ATGGAATCGAAGACTAAGTTGCCAACTGTAGAACGATCGGGGGCAATCTCGCCTTAACATTATGAGAACGAGGGGCTCACATCTTATGCATCTTACTTAGTTTTTGCTACAGAAGAACGGGTTGAACTCCGACGTAAGAAGTTTAAAGGAAAGTCATCTCAGGCCACCCGATTTCAAAGCAACGGCTTGCCTGAACAACACTGGCTACAATTACTTGTGATTCAGTAAATTACAAGCTTCTGATGAATTATGCCAAAATGTCTCTCAGGTTTTGCGGCATCATCGAGATGCTACTTGTAATAATATAAAACCACTGCCTAGACCGCAATCAAAAGGGTTTCAAAGCCCCATTCCCAGCCTTGATGGAAAGTTTAAGGATCGGCCACGCAAAATATTGAAAACTGATTGGCGCAACTAGAGCCACGCACCCTTACCATACGATTAGATCGTTTGCAAATTTAACATCTAGTCTATACCGTTCTCGCGCATATTTGCGAAGACCGGCGTCGCCTTTCATTTTTTAAGCAATTTCATCAAACGTGTTTTTGGGGTGAGTTTGGGACCAGCGTCCTTGCCAAATACGTACAGGTTATTTCGAAGACCCTAACCCGCCACCTAAGCTGATAAATTCGAGCTTAACAATATAAGCAGGGTATACTGACTCTTCATTTTATTTCAGTTATTGAATAATCCAATTTATGCTGAAAACCAAACTTGCATATATGTACTGTATGTGACTGCATGACTATAGTACAATAATGTGTGATGAAAATGATTATCTAACTGAGCGAAACGATGACAAAACAGATGCACTTATGCAATATTTGTTAAAGACATACCGAAAACGACAAACGCATCATACAAAACCCCGAACAACGACCAAGAAGGCTACAAACGCAGACGTTGCTGCAGTGTACATCCAACAAAGCAGAGAGAAAAACCTCCTCCCGAAATACCCCAATATGTTAAAAATACATATAATACTATATCATATATCTATATATACCGTCTCCCCTGCCCGACTAACCCTGTGCTTGCTCTATCACTCGACTAGACCCATGTTCGCTCTGTGGTCCAGTGGAGCCCTTGTGTCCTTCCGCCATCCACGGTAGCCTGTATTCCCTGTGATCCATCTGAGCCTGCTCTCCCTTACAGCCATCCGAGTCCATGCCCCCCCTGGGACCTATCTGATCTCCCTATGTTCTGCCCTGTACTCAGTCTCCCACCTGAACCTGACCTCTCCTGTATGTCCCGGCTGAGCCTCCGTGCCCCGCTGCCGCAGTGCTGGGGTGCGTGGTGGCCGCAGCCAGCGGCGCCACCTGGAGGAGACGCTGCCTGGCGTGCCCGGCCAGGACACCCATCTACGCCGAGGTGCCCGACACTGGCTTCGCCTGCGATGGCCGCATCAACGGCGGGTACTACGCCGATCCGCAGGCGCAGTGTCAGGTCAGTGACTCAATATCAGGTCAGAGATACGGTGTCAGGTCCAGCGACTCAGTGTCAGACCAGTTGTCTCACTCGGTGTCTGATCAGCGACTCTGTGTCAGGACAGTGACTCAGTGTCAGATCACAGCCACGGTGTCAGGGTCAGTAACTCAGTGTCAGGTACGTGGCCCGTCATGGGTCAGATCAGCGGCTTCGGATATCCAGCGTCGGTTTATTGACTCAGTCCTATCAGATCAGTGACCCCGGTCAGTATCGAGCCACTGACGGCCCAAACGCCATTCAATGACCCACCCAGAGCCAGGTCGGTGGGTTCGGGTCCAGTGTCAGGTCGGTAACTGATCCGGTGTCAGGATAGCAGGTCTGGCCGTGTGTCAGGTGCTTGTCTCACTTTACATATATATATATATATATATATATATATATATATATATATATATATATATTATATATATCCTTCCGCCATCCACGGTAGCCTGTATTCCCTGTGATCCATCTGAGCCTGCTCTCTCCCTTACAGCCATCCGAGTCCATGTCTGTACTATATATATATATATATATATATATATATATATATATATATATATATATATATACAGAGAGTCGAAGCCGTTGTTCAGGCCAGGGCATCAATATTGTCAGGCTAAGCTGCTTACACGCCGGGGCAGCCATCGCGTCCTAAGTCCGGTGCTGGTGTGAATGAAAACACCATCCGGATTTGTCTTATCTAACACAGACATGCTCACAGTAATGTAGTTTACTCCTGGAGTCCACAACATAAAGCGTGTTAAAACTTCAATTATTGTATTTTTTTTTAACGGCAGAAAGCGTGTTTAGCGTTTCCACTTGCACGAACTGGGATGAATGTGTATCACACCGTTGCACAACTAACGACACCAGGTTAAGCCCAATGATTGAGAGGCGACGGGAGCCCGCATGCAATAGCAGAACATGCTGCAAAATGATCCGGTTAGAACATGTCACCCCTGCAAACTAGCCATCTCACAAACCACGCATTTATCGAGTTCTTCGACTCAGGCAGATGACATCTCTTGCAGCTGGACCGCACTATTTAGACCATCCTGTCGAGCCTCCCGCCACCGTGGACAGTGGCGTGACGTGGACGTGACATCGACCCCATGCTCCCGTAACCCGGCCAACCACAGCACGCAGCTTCTCAATCAGTGGACAAAGCACACGGCGGTCAGCGCGGCGCGTCAGCGATATCAGCGCTCCATCACCGGTGACGAACTACGTCCGAACCCACCCGTCACGCCGCCACGCGCGGCGCCTGAAGCCGTGACGTCAGCGACGCCGTTGCAGCGGCACGTTCGCGGGGCGCATCACGCAGGTGTCACGGCGGCGCAGATGAGGCGCGCGCCCGCCGCCGGACGCTTTCGATTTCGGCGACTCGCTGCCGGCGACAGCGAAATGGCCGGCGCCGGGCGGTGGCCATCTGCTGACCGTCGCTGCTGCGGCCGCCGACGGTGTTACGTCACGCGGTGGTGCCAGCGGGAGAGACGCGTGCGGCAGGCGGTGGCGGACGGGGAGGCGGCGGGGGTGGGGAGCGGGAGAGACGGATAGTACGGCGGGCGGCGGGCGGCGGCGGACGGGGAGGCGGCGGGGGGTAGGGAGTGGAAGAGATGGAGAGTACGGCGGGCGGCAGGCGGTGGCGGACGGGGAGGCGGCGGGGGTGGAGAGCGGGAGAGACGGACAGTACGGCGGGGGGCAGGCGGCGGCGGACGGGGAGGCGCCGGGGGTGGGGAGCGGGAGAGACGGAGAGCACGGCGGGCGGCAGGCGGTGGCGGACGGGGAGGCGGCGGGGGTGGAGAGCGGGAGAGACGGAGAGCATGGCGGGCGGTAAGGGCTGGAGTGTCAGGTGGAAGTGGGTGCCAGGCAGGTGCCTCGGCGACTAACATGAAGCCGTTACAGGTGTTAAAGGGAATCTCGCATCTTGTCGTGACTGTATTTGGCCCACATTCTTACAACGTAAACAGTACTTGCATTGCGTGGCAATGACTCTAAGAGGCGTCGCAAGGTTGCTTGAGTGAATCTTTCCCATCTTAAATGACGTTGGGGGGCGGGGGTATTGGCGACTGGGCTGGTATGGGGGGGGGGATCTTGGCGGACTAGGCTAGTATGGGGGGGTCTTGGCGACTGGGCTGGTATGGGGGGGTCTTGGCGACTGAGCTGGTATGGGGGCGGGGTCTTGGCGACTGGGCTGGTATGGGGGTCTTGGCGACTGGGCTGATACGGGGGAGGGGGGTCTTGGCGACTGGGCTGGCATGGGGGGGGGGGTCTTGGCGACTGGGCTGGTATGGGG